ACAATAAAAGTTTTAAGTAACAATGGAAGTGTCAACAATGGAAATGTTACGTAACAATGGAATTGTTAAGAGAAAGTGACATGCAATACGCAGATGCAGTTTTTTTTCGTTTTTGCGGGAAATCGAACATATTTTTAGACCCATCTAAAAATTCTCTAATTAGTCTGGAAACAAGGGGACCCAATTCTTGCATTCTGTGAAAACGGGTAAGGTTGACTGTAACGTAATAATCTTTATCTTAGTTATCGTTACTTTTGCCTGAGCAACGCCGGGCCCACCTGCTAGTATTTAATAACTCTTCTTTCAAAAATGAAAAGTATCTTTTTATTTCTGTTTAATAAAAATGGAAGGATACTATTTTCATTTTGTTCAAAAGAAAAATATTTATTTTTTAAAATTATTATAAATTGTTTTTAATAATAAGTTGAAAAATGTATATATATTATATTATATTATATATCTACACTTTTCAACTTATTATTAATTTTTCTATGTTCCTCTAAACAGATTGATATAAAACTCTTAAATTTTAAAAATATTTACTCAATTATTTAAAATTATTTTAATTAATTTATTTATTCCTTAGGTACTTATTAGTATCCAATCTTTATTGACTGATCCATATTGCCATGTGTGCATGGAACCAGAAATTGGCAGGTTATATGTAGATGATCGCAATACATTTGATCGAACAGCTCGTTTGTGGACAATGCGGCATGCAACACATGGAACAATAATGCTACCACCAACCGATAAAGATTCATTTTGGTTATCACCCGAAAGCGGATGAGATCAGTTTTGTTGGACTTAACAGATATAGACAACTCAAAGTGGTAATTTGGAAACCAGTTTTCCATTCAAATTCAGTCACATGAGCTGACAAAAATAATTCCAATTGCAATCTACAAATACAAGCTTTCATTTGTACAGTATGTACTATGTACATTGAATAACCACTCTCCTGATACAATGCACAAGCCCTTTCTTCATGCTATTCTTTTTTAATATATATATAAAGCATAAATAAATTGTAAAATATCATTTTGGTCCCATAAGAGAATTTATGTAATATATAATTTGTGCCAAGAATGTATCGTCTTTTCATTTGAAGAAAATCATCCATCATTGTTTTTTTATGTTTATTATTTTTGTACGTAAAAGTAAAGTTGTTAATGTTTGTTGAGTTAATGAAATTATGCATAAAATATATTGTTTTGTATAAAGAACTATTTTCTTTTGGTTTTGTTTATAGTCTTATTTTGTTTGCAAATAAAAAAAAATATGTTCCTTGACATATGCAATCATCCCCTTTATACTTTTACAAGACTGCCTCCGAAGATAAATCGTTGTACATTTTTGCCAAATTCTGCAAAGTTTGCATATGACAGGGATACAAAATAATTGTGAATACATATATTATATATGCACGTCTTGTATATAAAATTGTTTGTTAAAAGATGAGTCATTTGGTAAGTATTAAAGCATTGCATCCTTAGAGGGATTTTGTATGTTATTAAGAGATGCATGTTATATAAAAAAAGTTTAACTTTATTTGTGTGTTATGTGCTTGTATTGTATAATGAAAATTGAAGATTAGTCAGTTTATTATAAAGATCATTTTAAGATTACATTATATGATTGAAACATAAATGCATTGATCAAACATGCTCTTATTCCCCTCACAATAAATATGAAATCAAATTTTTTCCTCGCCACAAAAATTTACAAAAGAAAAAATTCTATTATGAAACTAATTCATAACTGATACCTATTAAAATTCAATTCAATAATAATATCTGTGCATGGAAATTGCAAATTTTTTAAGTTAGCACACTTTTTTTTTTAAGAAAATTCATATTTAGGAAGGTATAAAAATTTTAATTAGGTACATTCCAGTATGCATCAAATAGTGTATTGGTGAACCACAATGTACTAAAATGTGTTCCAGTATTCACCAATGAGTTCATTGGTGCAGTGATTGACATACAATGTGCTCACTGGGCTGTGGATATGGTAAGCTCTGATGAAGAAAAATGCCTCCATGGTTATATTAACATCATTTTTACTACTAATTTGTATTAACCCAAAGTAATTTTGAGAAAATAAATTTGTAAATGCCAATATAGCACTGTTTGCTTCTGCCATTTTGTTCGGTTGCCAGACCTTGCATTAAAAGCCTATTAAACCATTCACTGATGCATTGGTTGTGGCTAAAACAGGTGCATGCTGGAATGTGCCCATTATTAAAATCATATTAACAAGAATTATTCTAAAACTTTGACAAATAATTAAAAACAATGTATTTCTTAATTAAATCTTAATTGTCAGTAAAATATTGCTGCAATTAATAAGTTTATAACATCCCATAAAATTGACAAGATTTTACTTAATATATTTGGTCATTTCATCATTCACAAATATGATTATGAATTAGCTTAATATGAATAATAATATGCAAAAAGCAATGTTTTTTTTTAATTATTTTTAAAATGGCATGAAGTAGAACATTTGAACTAATTGAAGATGATTATACAAATGTGTTTATTATACACAATTATCTGATCATCAAATGAGGGTCATTCAAGTGAAATTGAGACTTTTGACTACGTGGAAGAGATACAGTAAAAAAGAAAAAATTACATTTATTTATTCACATAATTTTCTGCTACAGAGATATCTTTGTCTCAACATTTGCTAAAGCATGGATATCATCAGCATAAATTTTGCCAGTATGTCTGACAAGTGAGAGACTCAGGAATGAACAACACAAGTGAAACCTTATAGATAGTGCCTTTGAAATAGTCTCTGCATAGCAATGCCATTGATCTAATAGTGTTGAAGGTTCTCAAAGCAACCCTGCAAATTTCATGTAATTGTTTTAAGCTGTGTACACAACCAATTGTCATATATATTGAAATGTCTATCTTTCATGGACTATTTTAGACAGGAAGTGAAAAGTCACAGGGATAGATCAGGCAAGTAGGGGATGAGAAAGCATTGCTATTTGCTTTCCAGCCAAGAACTGTTGCACCAAAAGGGCAGTGTAAGGTCTTATGTTATCATGTAGATTTGTAGAAGGTATCACTGGCAGAACCGATACAAAGTTGCAGGCAATGGCAAAAGACATTCTTCAGTAATCACTGTAAGCACTGGTGTTGATTTGTTGATTAATAGTTGGGGCTCAGAAAAAAATCATAAAATTTCATCAGCACAATCTAATGGCTGTGATCCAAGATCTCTCACTTGCACTTCATCATTTGGTTTGTGTGTTGTATTGGTAATGCCAGGTTCCATCTACTGTAACGATATAGGGCAGTTTTCAGAAGATGGTGCAAATCTCAACACATTCAACTTCCTCAACCATCCATGAAGCCTTGCAAAATATGGTATGGTCTATACAAGCATGCTACATGAAATGATTCCCAAGAAAAAGGCTCGCTCTGGAAATTTTGGAACAAACGTCATATCTTACAATTATCCATGTATAGCATCTGTGTCAATTCATATAATGAAAATCATTTGAACTATAATAGTGAAAATGGACGACAGATAGCCTTGTAACTTTTTGGACAGATGAAACTCATTTCCATTTTAAAGACTGATGGTAGAACTAATATTTAACAAACAAAAACGTTTAAGATGTAAAAAAAATTGTGCCAAGTAAAAAATTATGAGAATTTGGATGACAATCAAATATTTTTGTAGGAATTTTTCTTTGGTAAAGATAAGCTTGGCATTTCGAAATGAAACATAAAAAACATTAATACAGGCAAAAATCTAGTGGGTATTGTTGCAAAACACCAGCTTATTTTTACCAAAAGAAAAATCCCCAAGAAAAACTTTGATGGCTGCAGACCGAATGCTTTCAATGTGCTATTAGCAAAATGGTTATAAAAAGTTTTAATTTGCATAAATTTGACCTTTGTTATTTTGGAAAGCATTTTGAATAAAAACATTTGCTTTGATGTAATTTTATCCTTATAATCATGAAATTACATGATAAAAGTAAAATAGCCTATTGAGAATCCCGTTAACTTTGACCTATCAATCCGGAAGTTTCATGAATATACTGCCATGACTCTCGATCATCAAAATTAAAGTGCAGAATTTTGGATTTGTACAAGTAATCAAAAACTCATATTCCAAAAAAATTTACATATTATCTAATTACATAATTTATTTATCATTATGTAACAAATTCAGATAAATTTTATTGAAGTGATATATTTAAGTAATTCCAATGATTATAAAAAATACTTAAAAATTATTTAGACCTGATTTACAAGTAACTCACATAGTTTATTCATTTGAAGAATACAAACTGTGTGCTGGCGTTAATCTTTTAATAACAACTTCAACTTCAAGCTAACAGAATTCTAAATATAATTAACAATGAAAATTAAATTTTTGAATTCAGTTAGTTTGAAGAAGACGACATTGTATTATCTGAAATATCTGCTTTGTTTTTAATATGTTATTAAAATATTAAAGATATTTTGTATTTTTCATAATTATTGGCGTCAAGTATTCCAGAATTCTTAGTATTCATTTGAATAAAAAGTATTATTTCAATTAACATTTTACCTTTGCATTATAAGCATTTTTAAATTCTGTAATTCCTCTGACAATTCTACTGATATATATTTAAATTTTATTGGTAGTATTTAATTGGGTCGAAATTTTCAAATTTCAGACATACATTCCCACTGTCACCTGTCTGCATTCTTTGTTATTCTCGAGTTAGATGAAAATTAAGATCATATATGAATAGCTTTGGTGCCAAAAGCCCCCTGATTAACTATACATGAACTTCCAGTCTGGACCAGAAGTCATATGATTTCAATTCAAAATTTTATTGAGAATGGAGTTGGATAAATGACTAACATGATTCGATTGTTGTAAGGAGAAGTATGATGTACGGGGACAAAAGACCACTAAAATCCAGATCAGATATGGAAAGCTTAGGGGTTGGAGACCCCAATTAACTGTGTACAAACTTTTGGTCTGGACCGGAAGTAACGTGATTTTTTAAAAGTAAAAAACAATAAAAAAATTTCAGCCTGGCATTGTGTTGATGTCACAATAAATAAATTGCTGATTTTTCGTAAAAGTTCCATTTTAAGGATCATATTTCATATTCAGTTAATAGAGAGGTTGCGGCTGAAGTTTTCATCTCTAAAACGTGAACGTCGAACGTCGTGCGCCGCTATCTTGAAAGCGACACTCGACGTTCGACGTTCACGTTTTAGAGATGAAAACTTCTGCCGCAACCTCGCTGGTGTTGAGTGTTACGATTTCTGAAATATTTCAATTCCAATCTTCAGTAATGTAAATGTTCTAATATAAAAGCATTCATATAAGATGGATTCATGCATGACCACATATATCAATTTGTTGCTATTTTAAGATGCAATTTTTGAAAATGGAACCATTTTTTATAACATAACATTAACCTTTCGCATTTCGCAATATATGAATATTTTACTTATATCGCGTAGGGTATAATGGACTTAATACATTTAAATTATAGAAATCGTATCAAAAACTACAATTGTGTTGTGAATTTTTACATTTTGTTTGCTTTCTGACCATGTAAAATACTCCTGGATTGACAAAAATATATTATTTATATTTATTATTATGTAATTTAATCCACAAACGCAAAAAATGAACATATCAAATTTCAACGCGTTATAAATTATCTCATATTTCACGGATTGGCATCGGGTTTGTTTGTTGTTCAAGAAAAATACGTTCTTTAACAACGTTGTTGTTCAAGAAAAATACGTTCTTTAAAAATACGTTCTTTGTTATTCTCGAGTTAGATGAAAATTAAGATCATATATGAATAGCTTTGGTGCCAAAAGCCCCCTGATTAACTATACATGAACTTCCAGTCTGGACCAGAACTGAAAGTTACAGCACAGGTCGGGGAAAGTTAATTACATGAATAGGGAGATTTTTAGCACCTCCCACTAAGAATGTCAACCAGGTGCTAATTGTTTTATCTGTTTACGGAAGCTCTTTTCTTGCTTGTAATTCCGTGAAATGAAAATGATTTTCATTTTATTCAGGCAAATGTTGAATTTCAGATTTAACAGCTGATATTGTTATATCTTATTACATTCATTTTATTTTTAATTTTTTATGTGATATAGTCGCGCGTTAGGTCTAAATTGATCGCATAACATGACAAGTATAGGGGAAGTCAGATATTTCACTAGCTTGTCGGCAGAGTTCAAAACGGAATAAGGATCATCCGGTTGCTTTCCGCAATAAATTTCAAAATTGTGTGAACGGTCATCAACCAACATAAATATTTTTATACCATACTTATGGATTTACTAGGTATATATTATTAAAATTCGCATCTACCTCTGAATCCGTCTAATTTTTCGTCCATCGTACAATACTGGAATAATAAACAATTTTGTTGCCAATTTATTACGAACCCGTCAATAACTTCCCGAATGGCGGCTAACTTATACGTTTGAACTCTGACTCATCTCCTTTCTTTGTTGTCAAAGCGAAGATTGCTTACTAAAAATCGAAACCTCCTCCTGACATTACAATTCTTGATATATCCAACCCCATCCCGTCTGATGTCCATATTTTGTGTGCATTACAACTGTTCAGCTTTTTCACTCCCGACAAATAGAAAATTCCCAGGAATGACTTGATTTCAATTATATCTGTTAAATTTGCATCTCTTTCTCTACCATAATTGAGTTGCACTCTTCTAATTTGATCATTTGTAAATTTCAAAACAATTTCTAGAATCTTTACAGTAATAAACAACCCCCACCATTCTAAAATGTAGTGGGCATTCTTCGCATTGCCCACAGTACCAGGAAGATGCGTGATGATGTTTTCTGCTGTAGTCCTCGAAGTCCTGTGTCCTAATTCCTGTTTACTCCGCCGTGTCAAATCCCTTTCCATAGTAAAAGTTTCGACCACATATACAGCTGCGCGAGATTATGCAAATTAGGAGTGGATTAACGTAGTTTTTTGTGGTTTTTCGGTTGTTTGAACTTTGACCTTTGTTACCGGCGAGGAATTTGTCATTTCATGACCGTTTTGGACGGATTCCATAGCCGTTGTTTGAGGGGTTCGGCCCCTTGCAAGGTTATGCAAATTAGGTCCTCCCGAGGTAGAGCTCTTTTCTCCTATTTTCTTTTATGTATTTTCTGTTTTATACTGTACTTTGACCTTTCAGCCTGTTTTGGGCAGTTTTTTAGTGTTGCTTAGACACCCTTAGACAGATGCCCACATCGTGGGGATCGACCCCTCGCGAGATTATGTAAATTTGGTTACCAGCCAAGTGGCACTTTTGCTCTATTATTTCGGTACTGACTTTTAACCTTTCGGTCGTGTTTTTGGCAGTTTTTGGATATTATTTGGGCGCCTTTAGAGACATAATTTTCATTAATTTGCATAGTCTCGCTTCAGGCATTACGCAAATTAGGTCGTTCTGAAATAAATCCTTCGCTCTCACAGATTTACACTTGTTCTTAAGGGGATATCGCCGACTGGGACCCAAGCCCCCGATAGTCTGCAAGAAACGGCACAATTAAAGTCCCGGAATTTGTGTTTTTGATTTGGGCGTCGATAGTCTGCTGTTGCCGGTTGATAATTTGTATGTAGTTTTTCTATTGCTCCTGTATGAGGAAAGCGACACCAGCCAAACTCTGAACTGCATTTTCTTAAGCTCAATCTGCATAATAAAAATTAAAAATGAATTTATTCCTAAGAAAAATGCAACATATAATAATTACAAAATATATAAACAATGCAATGATTCAATTCAATTATTGAAGATAAACATCAAAAGTGACAATGCAATGCATAGAATATAATTATTATTTCTCTAAACATATGACATTTACTTTCCTTCTCTCCCTGGAGAAATTAACATCCAAAACTACTCACAATAAGTTACTTAAAGATTCCAGTAAAGAAAAAGAAAAACATTAAAGAAACAAAATAAATAAATTCATTGAGACTAATCCAGCGCAGTGTCAACCTGGACGGCGCAGCATTTGCAATTTCCACTAAATGCCAGAGGTGTGCTGTGACATTTGATGACAGGGAAGCTGTGTTTCTGTAAGAAGCCGACTTCCAGGAGCAATCAGTTAATTGCGCATCAGTGATGGCCTAGGGTCCATTAGTATTCGTTCGTTCGATAAACCAGTAAAAACCGCAGACTTCTCTAAATGTATTTTCAATATCACAATTACATTCTGAATCTCTAATCACGATATAAGGGCTACAATTAGAAATAAAATAATAAAAACTTACTTGGTGAAATAAAATATATGGTGGATATACTGTACATACTTGGTACAAAATATTCTTCAATTGTATGAATATATTTTTAAAGAAAATTATAATTAATTATAGCTTTGTAAAAAAACGTACATAAAAATAACAAAATATTCTTTACTTTTTAAATCTTAAAACAATTCACTTAGTAAAATAGCTATCTACGAGTGACTAATGGATGGAATTAGAGACGGTCCTGGTAGATGGGCAGTGCGTGCATGCACGCGGGCTGCCAAATCCTGAGGGTGCCGATACCGTTTAATGTCAAATGCCTCTTTTGTCGCATCACTAGTACATCTCAAAGGATACGACAGGGTTGTTGTAGATTTTAAACGTTTCTCACCATAGCTGTAAAAATCTACATATGTTAAACTTAATTGTCATTTGTTTTCTAACTAATTCGTTTTAGGACCAGGTGTCCACGGAAATTTCCAAAATTTACTTTTCAGTCACTCTCATTGAACTGGAAAAATTTGTCTTTATTACATCTAATATTACGAAGAAATCAATCCCCACTATACTCGGCTAGAGATTGGTTCGGTTAAGCTTTTAAGTAATATTCCGGCTCTTTCAGCAGGGTTTTATTTGTTCCTAATCTCTTAATTATTTAACTACTTCTTAAGTAGAAATAAGTCAAAACCAGTTACTTTGTACTCGATATCTGTAGTCTCGGGAAAAAAGTGGAAAGACAAATTTTTATGACAACGGATACACAAATCGTAAATTTAAGGAAAATAAATTCTACAGCTTTTTTTTGTACCTTGTGCGTCTCATTCATTAAATTTAGTTGTAAATGAGGTTGCCAAAGTAACAGTTAATTTTTTAACATTGTACAAGAATTGTACACTTTTTTCCTGCATCCCCTTATAGATGGGACATATGAAATCGTAATATCACTAGTTTAATTAACATTAAAATCTGTAAGTAATACGAAATGGGAGCGCAAAATAAAAATATCAAATATTTTAATGGATTTTTTAAACTCCTGTCAACTATAAAGAACTATCATAAAAACATACCAGTAAACTCCTATCGGTTGAGTTAAGTTATCTACTCGCGATTCACATAATGGGACAAGGACGGCCAAATATCTAGCAGGCAGGCGGCTAACAGCCCAGAACCGGTCCTGGATAGAATCATTGGAAGCGTTATACGATATTTTAGTTTGTAGCTTCCACCGTTTTTTTTTTTTTTTTAATACTCTTTCTGCCCTGTGGGCACTAAGAGGGCCTCTTATAGCAGGCCCATTATGGGTTCGGCCAGGCCCACAATGGGGCGACCGGGTGGTGAGGGACGGGGCCCGACATATCCAAACGGACCACCCCCCGAAAAATTCCTGGGGATTCCTTGACCCGTCCGGATTCGATCCCGGGTCCCCCAGAGCGGTAGGCTGCCACCTTGACCACACGGCCATCGTGCTTCCACCAGTTAAACCGCGAAAGGTTGGTGCTCTGTAAAGCGCATGAGCAAATGCCTACAATCTGGCTGCTTTACAGCAAATATTTGCGTTGTGGAAGCTATCCCGTATTCGACAATACAGCGCTTCCATTGGGAATATGCGTATAAGAATTTATATTCGAATATACAATAGCAATTTTACCGTTTTTTTCACATGTAGTATAGAAATTTGTAATAAGATATAAACATAAAAAATGTTTAAAAGATCGTTTTTATATATAACTTTTTTTTTCTTCTTCACTTTTGGCTGTATTCACTCCGAGTACTAAGAAGCCTTTTTAATCGTAACCATTGCGAGTTCGGCCAATTTTACAATGGAGGGATGGGGCCGAATTTATTTGGGACCAGTCATAAAAAATTCTTGGGGAATCGCTTGCCCAGATTTGATCCCGGGATCTCTAGAGCAGTAAGCTGTAACACCTTAACTACTGTATATTGGCCATCTTGCTCTCCAATTAATAATTTATACTTTTCTAATTCTTTTAATATATTTTATTATAGGAAATTAAAATTGTTAGAATTCGTGAATGAAAAATAAATAAAATTGATTATACTAGTTTTTCCAGTTAAATATCATAGAATATTTAATTTGAAAATTCACATTTTATTTTTCTCTAAAACGTTGTAAATGTGTTCATAATCATTTATTAAATCTTACTTATAATTTTTAAAATATAATGATAATTAATTTGACTATTAAACAGCACTTTTTTTTTATATTTTCATACAAAACATATGTTTTAATACAGGGAAGTTGAATTTGCATAATATTTAAGGATACAATACATTATTCTACATATTACATTATACATAAATATTAAAAAAACTACAAAAACTCTCACATATTTTACAAAATACTAAATAAATTAAATAATAAATAATACATTTAATGAAATAAAAAATAATTTAATTTTTTATATTATTGAATTATGTTAATTTTTTAAATAAATTTCTAGGGAATAAATTGTTATATTTATAGATCGTAAAGATTCTTCATAACATAAAATAATATTCTCCATCTGATGTAACCTGATGATATCAAACAGTTGAATGTTCACGCCCTATAAAGTAGATATAAAATAGTTATAAATAACTATAAAATATAATAATTTCTTATATGTACTGTATGTACTGTACATATATACAGTACATATTTTGTTAATATTAATCTAACAAAACAATGCCAATATTTATAAATATATAAAATCTTATAACATTAATATGTAATTATTATTAACAGTAATAATAAGTACCAAACAAAAAAGAAAAGGTAAAAAATTCGTACCAAGTAAAAATTTAGGACAATCCGGATTACAGTCAAATTTCTCTTCTTAGGGCTTTTTCTTTGGTAAAGATAAGTTTTACACTTTGAAGCAGTACTCACAAGGTTTTTACCTGGATTATTGTTTTCTATATTTTGCTTTAAAGTGCCAAGCTTATCTTTACAAAAAAAAAAAAAAAAAAAAATTTGACTGTCATCTAAATCTGCCATGTCCAACCCATGGCTTGCATGAGGGCCATTCAATGTTTTTGTGCAGCCCTTTTAAAAACAGTCTAAAGTAATTATCTTGTATAGATTTTTATTACAATGAAATATCACATGTATAGTTAAATATATTAATATGATGTATAACATCTTATCATGTACACCAAGAAATTAAAACACTTATTAAATCTTTTAACAAAGCTTAAAACGTATGAATGAAAATGACCAAAATGTTCCTGAATTATATGATGGACAGTGGCTTTTGGATTTATGTTTCCTTACACAATGAAATTAAACAAACTTAATAAGCAGCTTCAAGGTGAAAACAAATTGATCACAGACTGTTATTTCAAGAGAGATTTTCATATTTAAAAATTTATGAGAATATATTTAATATTTTCTTATGTCCATTTGACATTGTTGTGGAACAAGCTCCAACAAATTTGCAGATAGATTTAATAGATATCCAGTCATCTTCTAAATTAAAATATATGTTTGAGGCCAATGACAAAGTTTAGTTTTATACAAATACGTCTGTAATGATAAATTCCCTAGCCTAAAAAAATTGGTGATGGATATTAGAGCTGCAATGGGAATCACCTAGCTTTGTGAATCTTTTTTCTCAAAATTGAAGATTGTTAAATGTAAAAGTCATAATAGATTGACCAATAAAAAATTAGAAAACCAATTATGTTGTACATCATCACAAATACCTGTTGACATTAAAAAGTCAAGTGAAAAAATTGAAAAGTAAGTTTCACATTAAAATACATACAAAATACTGTATAATTGTATATATTTTGTTGTAAATAAATATGTGCAGCCCACAGTGTATTTTTGGTTTTGGTTTTGTCCTAGTAAAAATTTCGGTCAGACAACACTGATCTAAATTATCATGATTTTTTGCTTGGTACAATTTTTTTACATCTCAGATTTTTTGTTTGTTGGCAAGAGTATTGTGGCACTCTCCTAGGGACATTCCCTAGGAGATAAGAAAACCCTGCCCTGTGTAGTCCAATATGCTTTTGTACCTCTACTGTGTATACTGTACATTAAATTCTATTCCAACTAAGCAATTTCTTTCTTTACCTTGCTACCACACTCTGCACCAATTACAACAGGTTATGGACCCAGCAAATACCATCTAAAGAGGAATAAAAAAAAATTCTCAAGAAAAATGCATGGTTATCAAAACTGCAGCACATGGTCTTTTTTTGGACTGTTTCTCATGCTCTGTGAATCCAATTGCTATGAAAATTGGAAAATCAGCAGAAAGGAAAGGTATGAATTTTTTTTCTAAATTTGCTGCCTATTGGATTATCAGCACCAAAATTATCGCCTCCTGAACACTGTCCTGAAGAACAAAGACATATACCACGTGGTCATGAATTTCCATTGTCAATAGCTTCACCTTAAATTATACTAATCAATTAAAATTTGGATGATCAAGGATACTGTTATAGATGAATGTTTGTGCCAAATTTTAAGTACACCAGATGAATAAAGGCTGGAAAAAATATGAATTTCAAATAAATGAAAGTTACAACAACATATCAACAATTGAAATCCAGCCAAGCTTGTGAAGTTAAAGAACAAAGACATAGCAATGGATTTGAACAAAACTTATTATTAGTAGACACATACTAGTTTACAGATACTTTAACTGCACAGAATTTGGAACAATACAATGATTTTTCAACTGTAATAGTTGTGATTCATACTATTCAATCACCATACAGTATTTAAATAATGATGACCACAATTAAAATTGAAGGACAACTTGCAAAAATTAAATATTTATTCCCTTTTGCCTCTATGTCCTTACTTTATTGACTTTTTGTATCTTTGTCTACATTGGATTTTGTCTATTAGTAGGACTTATTACACTGATGTAGTTTCCATTTTGCAAATAGAGAAAAACTTATTCAGAAAAAACACAGCAAAACAGGTGAAAATAAAGATATTTTGTTTTGTTTTTTCTGAATAAGTTTTCCTCTATTTGCAAAATGGAAACTAAATCAGTATAATAAGTCCTATTAATAGACAAAATCCAATGTAGACAAAGATACAAAAATAAAAAAATAAAAAAAAAAGTCAAGGATAACTGTGATATGTGGAAAATCCAAGCAATAACTATCCTAATTAAAAATGTAATGTGGAAATATGCAAGTGACAGCTACCCATGACACACTGATGATGAGGACAAAGCAGCCACATGGGATGAAGATGATTTCAAAGTAGATTTAATTCTTACAATCAGTTCCAGTGAGCTGAAACAGATCAAAGGTTGTAAGACTGCTTCCAAAATTTGGAGCAAATTGGGAACCATTTACCAAAGAAAGAAAAACAAATACCAACAGAAATTGTATACCAAATTCCTTGTACTTGTAATGATACCAAACATTATATAGGTGAAACAATAAGGAAAATGAAAGTAAGATTAAAAGAATATATCGCAGATCTAAAATATCATCGAATCAGTTCCATTTTTCATGATCATTGTACGTTAAACAATTGCAACATAGACCAGAATAATATAAAAATTCTACACAGAGAAAAAGAAACATACAACAGAAAATTTAAAGAAAGTATAGAGATTCTTAAAAATAAAAAAATGTATAAATAAAAATAAAAATATAAAAATAAATGAAAATTAGCTAGAAGTATTATAAAATAAAAAATAGATTGAAGCATTATAAAATTAAATTAAATTAAAATAAAATTAAACTCGAAATTAAGAAATAAAAAAGGAATTTATTTTTATAAATTCAATTAAAATATTAATAAATCAGCAAGTAACTGTTTAGTCATAAGCTGGCCATATCAATATGCAATAATATGCAAATGAGCCCAGTACTGCACATCAAAATCAGAAAGGTGATTTAAGGGATAGCACACAATAGTAAACCTGTTTGTACGATACTAATTTCTTCAATTTTATTAAAAAAGAAGAGTAACCAGGTATGTTGTCTAAATCCTATAGAATTCGTTACAAGTTTAATTTATTATAAATATTCTTACTTGTTAAAATCAGAAAAATGAAATAAGAAATAACACGTAATAGTGCGACAAGGTTTATCAGATTTTATTAATAGAAGAAATAACAAGGTATAATAGAAGAAATAACCAGGTATGTCATCTTAGTCATATAAACTTACTATACAAGTTTACTTCATTACTTTTATAATCTCCATGTCTTACTTCCTTTGAAAGGAAAAAATGGTTAAGAACACTGGCAATACCAGTAGGAAAGTATAATCTCCAGGTCTTGCTGCTTTTGGAGAATGGCTCAAGAACACTGGCAATAACAGTAGGAAAGAATGAATTGATACAATGTTATGTATCGGCAGTAAATCTACCCTTCAAGTGTGTAGAAAACCTTAATTTTAAAAAAGAAACACGCAAAGGTATGTCTGGAATATGTTTATAAAACTTTAATTAATTAGCACGATAATTGATAAATATTTGCTAGATAAGCAAGGATGATTATATGTGTAAGTTATGCACCCGTCACACGGACATCTAATGTAAAAAGATTGTGATCTCAAAGTATGTTTAGCATAATAATTATATCGGTTATATATACATATAGCAACTTGTGATTTGTGTATATTTTATGATTTTAGTTGACTGAAGAGGGGCATTATTAACCCGAAATGTATAGAAAATAATGTGTATGCGTATCAACTGAACTGAATAAAAATTAAGATGAAAAATGCCAAGTGGTCCAGTGGTTGCACTACATAGTGTTAAAAAAAGATATTTGAACAAGTTGGCAATTAAGGCTTCAGGTCAAGAAGGCCATCAGGAGGTCTTTTTCTTTGTATAAATGAGAATTTAGGAAATGTGATTTTGCTGAAGGCAACTCAATATTTAATCATTATAAGACTAATTTTTGATCAAAAGAAATTCAGTAATTCTTGAAATCTAATTATTATTTTATATTGCATATACCTGTTTTTAATAACATATTTGCCAATCCGGAAGACTTGATTTCTAGTTATTCTGTTGATCACAATCTTCTATTATTGGTTGATTCAAATGCCAGGATTGGCACAAAAAATGGACAGTTTTTCATGGTAATATTATTTTAAATTCATGATTATCAAATGATTCGGTTATCAATAAGCAGGGTGACCAGTTTATTCAATTGGTTAAAGATTATAATTTATATATAATAAATGGTCATCACCCTCATGATTCCCCAGCTAATTTACATACATATCCAAGTTTGGAACATTAGTGATCGATTTATTAGTATTGAGTGAGGGACTGACCAAGCATCTTGGGGATTTTTATATTTCTGAGGACTATATGTCAGACTATCTTTTGGTAGTACTATAATTATCATTTGATAACACAAGAAAAGATGATGCTATTCAAAAACAACAACAGGAAAGGTTAACTTGGAAAGAAGAAAAAGCAAACTTGTTTACTGAAGCAGTTAACAACTTGTATAAAGGGTGGGCCAACGAAAACGAAATGGCAGAGCTATCGTGTTCGTCCAAGCAAATCGCTCGGACAGGTCGATTTTATTCTCAAGGAAAACATCTTCAATAAAGTTTTTGCGATTCTGAATACAACAGACAACAAAAAAATTTTAAAAACTCCGGAAAAAAATGAATGAGATTTTAAAATTTTTTGTTGTCTGTTGTATTCAGAATCGCAAAAACTTTATTGAAGATGTCCTCCTTGAGAATAAAATCGACCTGTCCGAGCGATTTGCTTGGACGAACACGATAGCTCTGCCATTTCGTTTTCGTTGGCCCACCCTTTATACAAGTTGTTAACTGCTTCAGTAAACAAGTTTGCTTTTTCTTCTTTCCAAGTTAACCTTTCCTGTTGTTGTTTTTGAATAGCATCATCTTTTCTTGTGTTATCAAATGATAATTATAGTACTACCAAAAGATAGTCTGACATATAGTCCTCAGAAATATAAAAATCCCCAAGATGCTTGGTCAGTCCCTCACTCAATACTAATAAATCGATCACTAATGTTCCAAACTTGGATATGTATGTAAATTAGCTGGGGAATCATGAGGGTGATGACCATTTATTATATATAAATTATAATCTTTAACCAATTGAATAAACTGGTCACCCTGCTTATTGATAACCGAATCATTTGATAATCATGAATTTAAAATAATATTACCATGAAAAACTGTCCATTTTTTGTGCCAATCCTGGCATTTGAATCAACCAATAATAGAAGATTGTGATCAACAGAATAACTAGAAATCAAGTCTTCCGGATTGGCAAATATGTTATTAAAAACAGGTATATGCAATATAAAATAATAATTAGATTTCAAGAATTACTGAATTTCTTTTGATCAAAAATTAGTCTTATAATGATTAAATATTGAGTTGCCTTCAGCAAAATCACATTTCCTAAATTCTCATTTATACAAAGAAAAAGACCTCCTGATGGCCTTCTTGACCTGAAGCCTTAATTGCCAACTTGTTCAAATATCTTTTTTTAACACTATGTAGTGCAACCACTGGACCACTTGGCATTTTTCATCTTAATTTTTATTCAGTTCAGTTGATACGCATACACATTATTTTCTATACATTTCGGGTTAATAATGCCCCTCTTCAGTCAACTAAAATCATAAAATATACACAAATCACAAGTTGCTATATGTATATATAACCGATATAATTATTATGCTAAACATACTTTGAGATCACAATCTTTTTACATTAGATGTCCGTGTGACGGGTGCATAACTTACACATATAATCATCCTTGCTTATCTAGCAAATATTTATCAATTATCGTGCTAATTAATTAAAGTTTTATAAACATATTCCAGACATACCTTTGCGTGTTTCTTTTTTAAAATTAAGGTTTTCTACACACTTGAAGGGTAGATTTACTGCCGATACATAACATTGTATCNATAAAATGTAAATTGAATTTTATCATAACGAGTTTGCTTGAATTTCTCTTCTTCTGAGATCGCAGCAATGCGCGACGGGTAAGCTAGTGTTATATAAATTGTTTACTTTTTTGTTAAATCATTGTATTATCTGTGTTAATTGTATTGTTTAAATACAATTAAAAGACCATTATGTGGCTACTTATTTTATAAATTTTGTTTCGTTTTTCCCTTTGTATGGGAGTACTTGTACTTGTATCAATAGTACAAGTTATTATTTTTCTTGTATCAATAACTAATAAAATATAATTTCGTTTATGTTTTAAACTGTTTTGCCAACACTTAAATATTTTTGTCAACCACCAGCTTTGATTTGAAATTGTGGATCAAGCCAACACAATACCATCTGGGTGGCAACCCTAATGTCATCCTATTTCCCCTAAAATGGGGACAATTAGTACTGATCAAGTGCAATCTCTCATTGCTCTGACTACATGAAAGAAAAGTCTGATCACCTCCTGTATAGGGGCATAGCATACTCTCTGCTTTGTTAACTTGAAAGTTTTCCAATAAACTAATACTTAATTGTTAATATAATTTTTAAAATTTTTTAATCTTCGACTGAAACAAATAATTAATTTTCTTATTAAATGTGTAAGAATCATTTTAAGAATCGGAAATCATGACAAGATTTGTTCAGTTCAAATTCCCGGAAAATGCCTAATTTTCTGATTCCAATTAATTGTCCCATCACTATCAAAAATATTTTGGGATAAAATTTACATGGTTTCTATAATTATATTTTAACATTGCTGATGGCCACTGATAATGATAATATTCAGTTTCATTATAACCAATTTTTGAAAATTTTTAAAAGTTTAATACTGTAGAGATATTAAACAAATTAAAATTAAAAACAATAAAAATAAATTTATAATCTTAAAAGCTCAAACATGATTTATAACTATATATACATAGCTAATGACAAAAAAATCTAAACTGACAATTATTTTTTTATGCTAAAATATAAAAAGTTAATTTTTTTTTTCCTAAAATTTGTTCAAATATAAAATTTCTGAAAAACTAAAATTGGAAACTAATACCTGCTTTCAATTGTTGACATCATTATGTTTTCAGGTGGTTTATTTTCTCCACAAAGAACTTTGTTATCTGCTTGCCCACAACATCGAAGAACACTCAGAAACATACAAACCAATGTGCACATAAATCCAAATACCTTAAAATTCATCAATAAAATATTTTACATATAGCTATTGTAAACAATAATATATTCTGATAATCTCAAGGAAGAAACTTACTGCTGATAAAGCAACTTGTAATCTTGACCAGTCTGCAACAAGTAGATAATATCTTTGATAAAGATGTTCTGCATGAAGTAAGAGAGATGAGGAAGCTGTATACATAATTCCCAATACACAACTAAAGACCCCATCCTGAAAAAAATTTTGATAATACTAAGAAAATGACGATGATGATGAATATATCAGGTTGAGAAAAATTTTGTAAAAATTACTTATGAAGACTTGCAGTTATACATCACATTCTAGATAAATAATTTTGTATAAATAATTATTGTATTAATCTGATAACGATTTTTTATGCAAAAGCAAAAAACCTTTTTAAAGTGCTTATATGAATATTTTTAGTTTTCTTTGCTCTTAATAGAAAAATGATCTCAAAACAAATTCAGGCATATCTAATTCATGAATCTGAATTAAAAAATGCAACTAATTTCATTCCAATGTATTTATAAAGTGTGAAGAAAGAATACCCAAAGGTAATTTAATACATAGAGATTATATTATTGAAATAATTATGATTAACTACACAAACACTCCTTCTATAAAAAAATCTCATCATAGGAAATCTTCTTGATATCATAAAATTTTTTTCAGTTAGTGCATTTCAATATGTTATTAAAGTAATATACATAACGTACTACAGAATTTATTTTAAAAATGTGATTAAAAAAATTGTTCATAATTTTAAAGTATAAGTAATATGAAATTTAGACAGATATATAATTCTTTCACTGAAAAATAAAAAATCTAAGTATATTAAACAACTCTAAGCTAATACATATATACATAGCCAAATGATTGCCTTAAATACTCGGGCTATAAATCTGCTATTTTTAATAATTAATACTAAGTACTTTGCTACTAGAGGTAGAGGTTAGGCACCATCTCTTATCTAAGTTAATAACTATAACTTAAATAATTTACTAAATAAATTAGAATCATCCGGAAGAAAAGAACTGGCCTGGGGTAATGCTTGAATCCACAACCACCATTACTAGTAACCGAAATGTAAATGAAACAGAACAAATGTATGCTAACTGAATAGCAGTGAGGTATGAGTGACACTTAAATGCAATTTATAGATGAATAGCAGCATGCAAAACAAGCATTATATACAAACAGAAATCAACTGTATACACAATACTTAGAAACAGGAAAGACACACTAAACACAGGGAGCTCCAGGGGTATACATGATACCTCTAAAGGATTACAGGATCAGCACATGATCTAGTATGCATGGGATCTATCACTAGACCTTTAAAACAGAGGCCAAGGGAACATCAATATGACTTGAATAAGGGAAAACTCTCCACTGCCCTGGCCACATATGCCTCTGATAGGCACAGAGGCTTTGTTCCATCAAGCATTGCTGATATGCACAACCCATGAAGATGAAGGCATCCAGAATATTGAGGTCCTTGAAATTTTTAAAGCTGAAAGGAAGGAGACATGCATTAATTATAAAGATGAAAAACAAACTTCATATGCTTGGAAAGTAATGTACGATCTGGCACAATCTATGGAAATCCATCCAATCAACGTAGACCACCATAATACGTCATGATGCAACTTCATATGTCTTTTAAACCACAGTTTTTTAATCTAAATTTAAGTCCAAACATTAGCTTTGATTTGCATTCCATTTAAAGGAGAGTGGAAAACATGAAGCAGAGCTCAGAAGGAGCCCAAAAATGTTTGTTTACATTTACCTGTGAATTTTGTTGCTGGGCACCCAGAGGTTTTTTGAGATATGTTATATTATTATTATTTTTTTAATTCAGACTTTTAATTTTAAAAGATATTTTATTTTTTATAGTATTCAATCTATTTACTTTGTATATTTAATATATTAAAACATTCTAAAATAATATACGTACAATGATATTCCAATTAAGTGGAAGAGCTAATATAAGAGATGAAAAATCTAAAAACAGGAATGATCCACTTAGAAGAAATGCAAAAACACACGTAAATATATGAAAACGGATACGTTCAGCAAGTGGCAGATGAAGGACATCTCGATTATTTGTTCCTGCAGTTACAATACAAGCAAGACTTATTGTACAGCAAGCCTATAAATGATAAAAATAATTAGTTTATTAAATTTAATAAAATCATATTCTTAATCAATTCTAGTTTTAATGGTGTTTCAAAATTAAACTATTCTAAATTTCATTATCATTAATACACTTACAACATATTAATCTATATATATATAATTGTAATAAATTTAATAATTTAAATAGAATTTTATATCTTTATGTTTAAATTAATATTTAATCACAAACATTCATTAATTCTTGTTGGATATATATGAATGTGATAGTTAATTAAATTGTAACAAATTGAAATTTACTATAGATAAAAAAATCTCAATTTTATTTTAATCTCATTTCTCTTGATGAATGTGAATAATGGCTGAATTAGAATTTTTCCTCCTCTGGAGTTTTTAACTATCATTTGGATAAAATAGAAAAAGATAAACTACAGAAGACAGTTGTCTTTTGGCACTATAAATAAAAATGAGGATGAACTCTATAAAAGTAATGTTTAACTTTTTGATGCTATGTTGAAGTGTAAATTGACACACCTGATTCTAGTTTGGGGTTTGGATTTTATTGATAAAATTGAGAAAGTGTAATTAAGATATTTCAAAAGATTATTTAAGCTTGAATATTCAGAGCCTGGTTCTGTTGAAGGATCAGAATTGGGAGTCTATNTTTTACAATATCTACGTTTGCTTCATTAAGTGCAATATGGATGAAACAAAATCCTGTAGCTAGGATTACTGATTACGGCATTGCTGATTGCTGCACTTGTAGATTTCTGTTTTGTTAAAGCAGTTAGGCACACGAAGACGGATTTAAGGGTACAGAACAGGATTTGACACTACAGATAAAAATGAGGATGAACTCTATTAAAGCATTGTTCAAACTTTTCGACGCTATGTTAAAGTTTAAATTGACATACTTGATTCCAGTTTGGGGTTTGGATTTTATTGATAAAATTGAGAAAGTGTAATTAAGATATTTCAAAAGATTATTTAAGCTTGAATATTCAGGGCCTGGTTCTGTTGAAGGATCAGAATTGGAGAGATCCCCACTTGAAATTAAT